CATCAAATGGGCAGTTTTTATTTTTTAAAAAAAATTTTTATCATAAAGGTGAGGTTTTTTCCTAAAAAAAATGTATAGGTCAAAACGTGGGTCATATTGGATAAATTTAAATTGATTTAGATCATGTGCATCAACGGAATAAGAAAATAAACGTCCTTTTTTTAAAAAGTGTATTAATTTGTTAACTTTGATTTAAAAAAAATTATAAATAATTAAAATCCCCAAAATCGGCCTCGAAGGATGTCTTAAGAATTTATTCCCCTTTAATTTAAGACAAAGAACACTCAAATCGGTTAAAAATTGTAAGCTATAGACATTTTTTAATAGTAAATTGTAAAAAAAATTCCACTGTGGGCTGGTGCAGTGCAGATGTAAATGCTTAATTTGACCAGTTAAAAGTTCTTGTCCCACGTTTTGACCTATATATTTTTTTAGGAAAAAACCTCACCTTTATGATAAAATTTTTTTTAAAAAAAATAAAAACTGCCCATTTGATAAAAAAATGAAATTTTATTTTTTAATTTAATTTTTCAAGGTCAAACAATTTTTTTTCTTCATTTGTTCACACTATTAGAAAGTGTTGAAAATCAGCAGCAAAACCCAAAATAGAAAACGTATTTTCGTTTTGTTTTAAAGAAACTACAAATTTTTCAAATATTCAATGTAAATTTTTGACCTGGGTCACTTTTCGTGGAACCCGTCATATACGCTAATTGAATCAGTGATATACTTATCGCTAGGAAATTAGTAAAATTTCGCTAATTCAGATTTAGAGAGTAGTGAAAAAATAGGGAGAAGCAATAAAGAAAATTTTATAACCTCAAAAATGTACATGGAAGTCAGCAGTTTCGGTAAAAAATCTCTATTATTTATGATCGTGCAAGTATAAAAATTTTGTTTTTTTCAAAACAACTTTTTTCGAAGTAGATTTTGAGCCAATTAATTCATAACAGTCATAAAAATTAATAAAATATTCTTTGGTTTTGAATAAATAAGGTTATACATACCATACTTTATCTCTCCTCGTTTACACAGAACTGAGAACAACTCTATCGGAAACTTAAATGGTCTTAAGGTTTTTTGAGGTCGCTGATTACGAATCTGAAGTCAGATTTTCCAAATTCAAAATGGCGGATCCAATATGGCGGATGACATAAATAAAATTTGATCGAATTGAGTTAAAAATTGCTACTCCATGGTTGCCACAAAATCTAGATTTCAAAATTTCAGGCTTTTTCCAGGTTTTCCAATTCAAAAATATTAAAAATTCCAGGTTAAAATTTAGGAATTATTTGTGATGAAAAAACAAGTATTTTACAAAACAGTGTTAACAATATTCATTATTATGTAGTTATAAATTAATGTCCCCTTAAACAGTTAAAATCACAGGCATTTTTATGTGAAAGTGAGACAATAATACTCACTTACCTATATAAGGGTAATTTTTCTGAAAGTGCTACTTTTGATATTCGATTTTTCAATTTACTTTTTTTTAAATTATATGGATTTTTTCTATTGACACTACTTTATTTCATACTCAAGAGTAAGAATTTAAGTTGCGCAAAATTAATTTGAAAATATTAAAGTCTTTCTTCTTTGAATTTTACTAGAGCCGATAAGTAAAATTTGAATATTTATAAAAGCAATAATAATATTCCTCCTTTTTATAAATAATATATATGGAAAAATTAAACATCAGATCTTTAACTTTATTTTAATGTGCATTAAAAATTTTTTTAGAATATTTTTAATGTATAAAAACATCATTAATCATCATGATGTAATTTTTTAAAATGCACATAATGATAGAAAAAACCTTGTATTTTCTGGCACTATTTTTAAAAATTTTCTAAGAATTTGAAAAAAAACCATAAAAATTTAGTTTTCTTATAGAAGTCCTATTGGAGAAATGTTAAAAAGACTTTGGAGATGAAATTATTTTAGTTATTGCATAAATTCAGTTGAATAAAATTGTTTAATTTTTTTTAATGATAAGTAAGTGCTAAATTTTTACTATGAAAATGGTTAATAATATTATTAGAGAGTAGATTTTATAAAATTTATCGAGACATCAAAAATGTCACTTTTCAGAAGAATCAGTCATAATTAGAACATTCATGTCAATTCTAAATTAAATAATTTTTATCTTTTAACGTATCAAAAAATTTTGACAATCGTAATACTAATAAAGATATAAATTCCTTTTTCTAGAACAATCTTAACAACATTTTTCACAGTTTTAGTCAATAATTAAAAAGAAAAATTAAATTAATTTAAAGAGAAGATAACATGGAAAAGGAAAATTGCATGTTAACATTTTTAAAGAAAAATAACAAGTTGAATGGAATTTTTCTTAATATCTTTCATTAACCAAAAAAAAAATTCCAGAAATTTGTTCAAATTCCATGCTATTTCCAGGTTTTCCAGGTTGTGTGGCAACCATGTACTCAGGGGTTTTCGGGGTCGATGATTGCAAATCTGAAATCAAATTTTTGAAATTGTAAATGAAATAATAAATAATACGTTATACAAAATTGTTCTTATGTCTTATATTTAAATTTTTGTTTTTAACGATAACATTTTTTAAAGTAAGTTTTTATCGAAAAATGTAGTAAGATTATTTAAATAACATTATTTATAATATTTGAAGAAAGGATATTAGAAACAAAAAATGAAATAAATGTTTAGAAATTTATTAAAATCTTTGGCAACACTTTTGGTCAGTTTAGTCACTGTCATAAATCGTTGTATCACTTTCAGAACTTTCTATTTCCTTGTCAATTAGCATCTCGTTTTTATCAATTTTTCCGAAAAATAATATTTAATGTAGGATAATGTCACATTGAGTGGACCACCTGAGTTTTTAAGTTATCTGACAGCGGAAACGTGAAATAAATAAAACGAATAGCAGCACCGCACCTAGAAGCCGTAAGAATTTATGTTCTTCGATAATCATATACGTTATCGTTTCATGTAACGCATTTTTAAGAACACAAACCAAAAGAGAAGTCGCTCTTACAATGAGTAAAGTGATTCGGAAGTGTAAAAGTAGTGTAAAATTTAAGTTTTGAAAGGTAACTAATTTTTTTCCTACTACTTTGGACATTGAAATTGATTGTCTTAGTTTAATAAGGTGATAATTATGACTCAAAAAAAAAAAAATGTTGGTGTCTGCCATAAAAAGTTGCATGTCACCATGAGTGGACCACAGTTTATAACCATGAGTGGACTGCCTGTTTTTTATATTTTTAATGTCAGTTTAACATTTTTATGGAAATAAATTGACAATAAATTGGTTTGAAACTGTTTTATGTTCTTTATTAATTTTTTTGTGATTTTGATGTGATATGTGCCAAAATTATTGAAAATGGTTTCACTTGTAAACAATGCGACACAAACATGGTCTGAAGCTGCATAAGCATAAATTTTGTTTCAATATATCAGAAATATTAAAGACATTAAAGAATTTAGAATAACTTTTACAATTTTTTAAGAGTGGTCCACTCAAGGTTACACTTTTTTCATTTCTTAAAAATGATCTATTTTTTTAAAGTCAATTGTTTTTCCCAAATAAAAAAAATTAAAGCTATTATGGTATAAACACTTATCTAGGGATCTAAACTAAAGCTTGGAATAGAAACCTCCGATTAATTTGCTGTCATAAAGAATTTTTTAGAAAAAAAGCTTAGGCGGCCCACTCAAGGTGACATTACCCTATGAAAGCAATTTTTAACATCTTACAAATTGAAACTGTATTCTTTGTAAATTTATTTCTAGTAATATAAATACATAAATTAGACATTAGATAAATTAATTTCGATCTTATACAGTATGTATTTTTGATTGCATATATAATTAAGAAAAAAGATAGAGTGTATGTTTTCCATTTACCCTTTTGCAATAAATTGTTTAATTTCTGCGATAAAAACTTACTTTAAAAAATGTTAACGTTAAAAACAAAAATTTAAATTTCAGACATTAGAACAATTTTGTGTAACGTATTACTATTTTATTATCAATTTTAAAAATTTAATTTCAGATTCGCAATCATCGACCCAGAAAACCCCTGAGTAGCAATTTTTAACTCAATTCGATCAAATTTTATTTATGTCATCCGCCATATTGAATCCGCCATTTTGAATTTGGAAAATCTGACTTCAGATTCGTAATCAGCGACCTCAAAAAACCTTAAGACCACTTAAGTTTCCGATAGAATTGTTCTCAGTTCTGTGTGAACGAGGAGAGATAAAGTATGGTATTTAAACCTTTTTTATTCAAAACCAAAGAATATTTTATTAATTTTTATGATTGTTATGAATTAATTGGCTCAAAATCTACTTAGAAAAAGTTGTCCTCTATTCTGTAAAGTCTAATCTATACTCTCCAAAAACTTTTATTCATTTATGACGTTCCGATTCAGAGTTCTACGATTTTGATACGAAATTCGACCAAATCACCCACTGCGAGACGGGTACGACGCTAGTTTACTATAAATTTAATTAAAAAAATTAACAATAAATTTGATTTAAAATATTTACTATAAATTCTACTGTGTAAAATCAAACGAAGAAAGCTTCAAAAGTTTCGAAAGAAGAAAACTCTTTTTATTGCTCTTTTTTACAAAAAAAATCTATCTCTAAATACACTAAAAGGGATATATAAATATTTTTTTCCATTTTTTTATCGGATATTGTGAGAAATATACTCGAGAGAAGAACATAAGCAACAAGTTCATTTCAAACATAGGAAAAAGTTTCTGCCTTCTTAAGCAACTTTCTTTTATTTACATTTCATGGGAAATTTGATATACAATTTGAAACTCAATTTTCTTACTCGTTTCTTTTTTATCTCGTTTTTCTTTCTTTTCCTTTTATTCCTGTGAAAATAAATTCACATTGTTTGTTTTTATTGTTTTGAGACTTGGGAAATTTAATAAAAAAAAATAAATATTGAGGTAATGCTAATAATAATTTTTTTCATATTTCTCTTTCAAAACTTACAAACATGGTTGATTTTCTCCAGGTAAACGGCAGCACAATTCACAAGCCTTCGTTGCAGGATCGTTTGGCCCTGGTATGCACTGACAGGATTCCAAGCCGTAAGCTAGACAAATGCTGCCCGTGCACTCCTGAAAATATAAAAGAAGCTCTCATTCTTTGCAGTCAACTCATGAGAATCGAGGATGATCGTTTTCAATGCGGTGAAGAAGGAGGAAAAAAAATTATCATCAATTTTTCCCAATGCTTTCTCACACAATAGAAATAAATTTTTATATTTCATATAAATTCCTTCGTCTTCTTAAATATTTATTTTTCTTCATTTTCTACTTTCTTTTGGGTTGGGGGGGGGGGGGCGGAATTATTCTTCACAATTTCACACAATGTAAAATTAATTTCTATTCTGAATTTTTCATTTTTTTAAAATGTTTTCACAAAAATTGAATATTTTTCGAAACAATTTTTTTATAAACAATTTTATTTTTTTTCATTTTTTAAAAATTAAATTAAATTTCTTTGCGATATTTTTAACTAATATTGTACATTTCCGTTTGTAATAAAGTAATAAAAAAAACATTTCATTCTGTATTTTTATATTCCATTTCTATTTTTTTTTCTTTTTAACATATTGCCGATTTCTAATGTGAGAATAAATAAGGTAAAATATAAACTTGTAATGTGGATATGAAACGAATAAATAAAATAATTATTATTGCCCAGCGAGAAAAAAAGAAATGGAAATTATTTCTTCCAAAAACACAACGTTTTAATTTCTTTTTCTGAATTAATTTTTTATTTCATTAAATTTTCTAAAAATTGAATATTTGAAATGTTTATTTCACTCTCTATATTTTTTTGTACTATTGTCGAATTTTAAAGTATCCAAAAAAATTATCTTGTTGAATAAAAAAAGAAATAAATACGAAAATTTTATTTTCCACAATATCGCAACATAAAAATTATATCTTTTCCTAATATTGATTTTTAATTTTCTGAAGTTATTTAAAAAATCGATTATTTTTCCAAATAAAATGTTATTCTCATTTTTTGATTCTTCTCTTTAATAATTAACTTCTTTTGCTATTTTTAAAAATATTTTTTTTACATTTTTCCAAATAATAAAATTTTATTTTCGATCTTTTATTTTTTCCTAAATAATTATTAACTTTCTTCACTAAGTTTAAACAATTTATATTAATATTATTAATATTTTTCCAAATAAGAGTTTTTTCGTTCTTTGATTTTTTCCTACATAATTATTAATTTTTTTCACTATTTTTAAAAATTGTTTATTAATATTATTAATATTTTTCCAAGTACAAAAATTTGATTTTTCCTTTAATAATAATAAACTTTTTCCAATATTTAAAAAAAAATTTTTTTTAATATTATTATTAGATAGTAGGGTAGGGTGGGGCACTTTTTGTGTGCTTGTTTTTAGGTTAGAATAGTAAGAAATTGGAAGAGAAAAACCAGTAAAAATTCCTTCAAAAGTCTAGTGATACAAAAGAATAAATTATTTAAAATGTTATTCTATTGTCTTATGAAATTAAATTTTAACAAATTTTTAGTATAGGTATCATAAATATAAGAATCTTTTTAAATCATTTTTTTGACACTTTTTTTAAAATTTCTTCTGAAACTTAGGGGCCCGTACACATAATACGTCACGCGTCTAGGGGGAGGGAGGGGATCTGAGAATTGTGACTAAGTGTGACATGGGGAAGGGGGGGATGAACTCATGTGTTACGTCACAATCTTTTAAATTCAAAGATTATAAGAAATTATATGTGACAATGTCACTTTTTCTAAATAAAACAAGTTAAAAATGCTTTAAACTATTTAATATCTATTTTATGTACCTGTTTAACATCTATTGGCATATTATTTATAATATGATAAATAATATATTCTCTTAATTATGTAAGAAATTGGAAGAGAAAAACCAGTAAAAATCCTCCAATTAACAAATTAATTTTTATATTTTTTTACTACTATATCATTAAGGGTACAGTCACACGATCTAATGCATCTGCATGATGCATGCATGCAGAAACATTTGACCGTTCACACCTCATTTTTCGCTTTCGGAAAATCAGATTTCTGGCGGGATATTTAAAATTGATTAAAATTTTAAATATCCCGCCAGAAATCTGATTTTCTGAAAGCGAAAAATGAGGTGTGAACGGTCAAATGTTTCTGCATGCATGCATCATGCAGATGCATTAGATCGTGTGACTGTACCCTAATAGCTGCAAGAATAGTTACACCCCTCGTTTTTTTCGACATAAAAAAAAAATTCGTAAAATCGCTGTAGTTCGGAACAGAATCGAGTTACAGCAAAATAATACATGTCAAAATTGTAGCTAAGAAGTCAAGTTTTCAAACGGTCCTACTCATTTTTTTTTAAATACACTTTTTAGACTCAAAAATCCAAACAAGAATAGTAATGCCCCACTCTACCCTATTTATTAATATTTTTTCAAATAAAATTTAATTTACGTTCTTCAATATTTTTCTGTATACAGTAAACCCTCGTTAACGCGTACTCGGTTAACACGAATTCTCTCTTAACACGAACAAAAATTGTGGTCCCGGCAGAGATGCATATAAACTGTATAGAGACTTCCTCGGTTAACACGAAACCCGGTTAACACGAAACTCGAACAGTTTTTGGGGTCCTCATTTCGTTCTTAGCTCGGCTAACGCGTACAAATTGGTACCATCACACTTAGAGTTCTTTGTTCCAAATATTTTTCCACCCCTTAAAATATTTTTGATAATCTATAATAATTCTATAAATCGTTTGATCAATTTGTATGAAAACGTATTTCCGTCAAATAATACAAGAAATAGTGTTTACATTGCTATGAGTGAAAGAAAACAATCGAATATCGGCCTAATTATGGTACTTTATGTTATTTATTATGAATGCCTCGATAACACGAATTATTTTAACACGAACTGCTAATTTTTCGGTCTCTTCAAGTTCGTGTTAACGAGGGTTTACTGTAGTAATATTGAATTCTTTCGATATTCTTAATTAATATTGTACACTTCCGTTTGTATTAAAATAGTAGAAAAATGTTTATTTCTCCTTTTCTGTATTGTTATTTTTAATTGAGCTACAATTCAAATACGTTGTCGTTTTCTAATATATCTATTTTCTCTTTGTAAAAATAAAAATGAAAAATTGATTTTTCAATTTAAATTTTAGTTCCTTTCCTAATTAATGTTTTATTTTCTGAAACTTTTTTCAAAATTAAATATAGTACCATAAAAAAAATTAATTTTCACATTTGAGACATTCCACGCCAAACCAACATATCGTCAAAATTCACATTTTTTATTTGGACCAAACATTTTTTATCTTTTAGTACTAGTTGAAAAAGGGCTTTATGATTTTTTTCAAATTTTTTTACCCAGCCGTTTACAAGATAAGAATTTTTCAAAATGTTACGTTTTGAAAAAAAAATTTTTTTTGAATGCTCATAACTTCTACAAATGTGGATCAATTTTAAACTTTCTTATATGAAAATTGTTTGTTTTTTCATAAAATTTTCAAAAATTTTTATAAAATTTTTAAAAATTTCAAGATTAAAATTTAATTTTTAAATCTGTTTGTATCCTTCGATTTTTTTTTAAATTCCAAAAAAACTACTACTCTTTAAGCAAATTTTAAGCCTTGTCCCGTCGTGGGTAAATGATTTTTACTATTTTTTCAGAATTTTTTTAAATTATCGAAATTCAGTATTTACTCATTCAGCCGCTGAATTGTGCAACAAACTGATTTTACAGGATTCAGTTTTGCCTAATATCAATTGAAATACGATTCCTTCAAAAGTCTAGTGATACAAAAGAATAAATTATTAAAAATGTTATTCTATTGTCTTATGAAATTAAATTTTAACAAATTTTTAGTATAGGTAGCTAATCATAAATATAAGAATCTTTTTAAATCATTTTTTTGACACTTTTTTTAAAATTTCTTCTGAAACTTTTGAGAAACTAGTTTTTCATTGTACTGACAAAAATAACTTAATAAAAATAACTCATTTAATTAAAAATTATTGAATTAATACAATATTTATTCCATATGATTGGAGGTTTTACCCCCAATTAATGGATATTTAGTTTCTTATCTTTCTTACATTGAAAAATTAACATTTTCCAAAAAAATGTAACACTTTTTTACATTTTCATATTATTTTATAATCCTCATAACTCTATTTTAAAAGTCTTTCTAAACTCTAAATTTATTCTTCTTCTTCATCCATTCTTGCAACGTCGTTGGAGGTAAGCTAAAAAATGCAGCCGCTCGAGCTAGTCTTCAATGAATCAACAAATTTCAACCGCCAAAGAGTTATACAAATGGGCTATTGTAGAATAAAATTTACCAAACGTTGTAGCTAAATTTTCAACTATTTAAAATTATGAAAAAGTAATTGACGCTCTCAATATTCGATACTCAAAGGCTCAAACAGTTTGCAAAATATTTAGAAGACAAAAATATAATTTAAGAACATTCTTATATTTATGATTAAGTACCTATATTTTTCTCTAAATCTGAATTAGTAGAAAGTTACTAATGAAATGGTGAAAAGTCGTCCACCAAATGATTTAGTAATATATTACTAACAAATAGTGAATTTTACTAATTGATTAGTAGATTTCTACTAACAATTAGTAGAACTGTTTTATTAATAGTCGATAAAACAGTTTTACTAATTCATTTAGTGAAATGAGTGACTTTCAATTAGTGAATTTCTACTAAAACATTAGTAAAATTTTACTAAGAATTAGTACCCAAGCAGCACGTAAGCTTACACAGTGAAAAGAAAGTCTTATTTTAAAGCAGGAAAGCAGCCTTTAATTAAGATGCAACATTTTAAAGGCAGTCTATGCTGAATTTACGCACGTATTTTGTATCCTTTAACATTATAGCAGAAAGTGCTGAATTTAAGACCGATCTTAAATTAAGATTTACTTTTTACTGTGTATCTTGACATCACTGTAACAGTACATTGGAGATTCGTCATATTACACTGTAATATTACAGTGATCTTACTAAGATAACAAAATGTCCGCCTGGAGGTAATATTAAGGTAATATTACATAGGAATAGTAAGGTAATATTACTTGGTAATATTAAGGTAATATTACACTGTAATATTAACGTTATGTTAAGGTAATATTCAGATAAAATTAGAATAATAAATTTTATAATTTAGAAAAAAAAACATTTCACAAAGCTAGACTTGAACCCTGAACCTTGTGTACAGTAATCA